TAAGAGAGAGGGAAGGAGGAAGAAATGAGTGTGTATGAAAATGAGACATTATAATTATGTGCGTGTGTAAGAGCCAAGTAATCACGATAAAATTTATAATTAAATTTTATTATTTTTATATACTATTTTTATATTTCATAATTATATATAAATATTAAAATAAATAATATAATAGTTTAAATAATTAGAAATAAAAAATATAACAAATTATATTGTATGAATTATATTTTTTTACACAAAATGGATATTATAAATAAATATTTTAATCAAATAAGAAAATTAAATATAAATATTGAATAATAGTATTATTATTTAACAATACTTAAAGTCGCACGGAAAGACACTTTCAAATCGCCGCTAAAAGTCTATTTCAAAATTTTATTACTATTATATACGTTTGATTTTTCAACAAACATCACCAAATTCATTTTAGCTCAATGGCAAGAAGAAGAGATGTAGAAAGAGGAGGTTAGGAGTTTGAACTATAAAAAGATCGTATTTATGGTGATAAGATCCAAATCGAGATGTGAACACGTGGCATAGATGAGGTGGTAAAAGGGTTTTAATATAATAATAATTATAATAAAACGTCTTACTTAAGCAATGACTTGGCAAATTTTGACGAGTCAAATGTCAATGACTGCAAAACATTTTGTGCGATCGACAAAGATTTGGAAACCTCCTAAATTCAACATGTTTGAAAAGCAAATTAGTTACAATTTAGATGAGAATTAAATATCAAGGGCGAATAGTAAAAAATTACTGCAGTAATAACATGCACAAAAGTGATAAAAACAAATTATCACATACTATGACATCTCTTTAATATAAAAAAATAATTAACTAATTTCAGTAGATTAAAGGTTTGACAAACCATTTTGGAAGGAAAAGGACATGATTTAGAACCCAAAAGCACATTAATAGTTCTGTTCCTTGTTTGGTTGTGCAGTAGCTTTTAAGCCAAAAGTTAATCTCAACCTGTAAAAATCATAAGCTATTATGAGTTATTTATTAAAAAAATGCTTTTTAACTGTGAAGAGAAGAGAAAAGAACCGTTAAAAAAGAAGAGAGAAGTTTGGTATGAATAAAAGGGAAGGGAGTAAAGAGGAATGGGTAAAAGGGATTTTGCTCCTCTCCTTTTATTTGGATTGCTAAAATTTTTAGGAGGGGAGAGAATTTTTTTAAGATTCCCCCCTGATAAACCTCCCTTCCTAAATTAGAGGAATTTAGATGAAAATGATAATATTTAAACTTGTTTTGACTAATATGTCTATAATTAGTTTTTAATATCCCCACGTTACCCTTCTGATCTTATATCATGTGTGTAAGGGATGGTAACTGTTACACTCTTATCAAATTATATATGACATCATAAAATATCCTCTCTCCTCCCATCTCTCTCCTCATCAATTCAAATAAGATAATATTTAAATCCCTCTTCTCCCTTCTCTTCTCTTCCCTTCCCTTCCATTAAAATCCCTCCTCTCCCTTCCCCTCCCATCTTTTGAGTCAAATAAACTTTTAACATGTGTAACTACTACAAAAACTAGCTTAAAGAAAAATAGATAAATATGATAGACAAAGTAGATTAAAGTTTTCTATTTACGACCAAATTGAATGTCAAACTAACTCTTATATTAAGGATAGGAGGTAGTATCAAAGTTATATAATTGATTTAAAAAGATTAAGAAATTAGTTAAATTGGTTAATTGTAATAAATATGTATTGATTTTTCTAAAATATCCTTAATCATTTGTATATTGGAACTATCTCTTGGTGGAACCCTTTATAATCATTAGGGATATTTTAAAGAAAATATTATAAATTTAAGAGACAAAGTGTATTGAGATATTATATTTAGAATTAAATTTAATAAATAACGAAAGTAATATTCATTAAACATAAAAATGTCAAAAGCCAACAAGAAATAAAAAAGGGTGACCATGTGCTAAAGATTTATGTAGAAGCACTTGAACCTACCGTTAGTAGTGCAAGTATTAACAAATTGATGGTTGCATTAAAGCATCAAACCACCATTCTTAGCACTGTAAATACTCCTCACTCAGTCTTAAAACATTTTTTCTTTTCATCTTTTTCATTGGAAGTAACTCGTACACTTATCACATCATGGAGAATTGAACATGCAACCCTATGTTTAAATAAGACTTTGAAAAAGTGTCAGTTAAATCAAATGACTTCAATGCACAAAGACTTACATTTAAGAATAAAATTAAAAGAAGTTAAATTAAACCTTAGTTTTCCAAGAATCCATGAAGAATTTAACTTACCTTTAACACTCGAATTCTTATAATATGCTCTAGACTTGGAGTGGTTACATTTTTTAATCTAGTTCCCAGTCACTTGTATCAATAATTTGTTTGCACTTAGTTTGATAATTTCTTAGGATTTGATTCTACTTCTCCCATATTACTATTTGACTCTGTTTCAAATAAAATTGTTTTTAATAATAGTTTACGCTGAATATTTAAAATAAAACCCATTCAATAAATCATTTCTTGAAATTTAAACTTATGTTTTTCTTTTGATGGGTCAGATTTGCTACTATATCAATTAGTAACTTGTTAGTTAAAAACTAGATTTTGTCTAACTGAAAATTGGGTTTCATTACTAGTGATTGAAGTTAACCTTTTGATATTATGACCAACCATTTGGCGAATCATCCCCTTCCACGAAAGTTCCACTCAAAATAACAAATGTCTTACTCAAGCAATGACTGCGTATTTGGGTCAAATCATTACGACCAATATTTGAAGAATTAATTGTCAAAGGGTTAATAGTAATTAATCAGCATCATTAAAATAATGTTAAGAAACACCAGTAATAACATGGTCAAAAGTGATAAACACAATAATCCTAAATCCAATCAACATGAGAATTTCAAAAAGTGAACAAGGCTGCGAAAAGAAAACTAGGTGTTAGAAAATGATCATAGAGTTAATAACATTATTAGTTTTTATAGTTTAATCGAATATTGATCTTGGTCTTTGTAATTTTAAATCATTGATTTGATTTCTATATAATTTCATAAAAATTTAAGCTGAATTTAAAAAATGGTCCTTATATTTTTAATATGTTTTGATTCTTATTCTTATACCTAAATCCAAATTAACTTCTTATGAAATTATAGAGACCAAAATTAATGATTTGATACTATCTCCAGTCCTTAATATAAGACCCCGTTTGATTTTTATGTTGGTCCTAAATATAAGACTCCAATCTATTTTATCTCTCACATTTACTTAATTTTTTTCAAGATAGTCCTTCTAATAGTTATAGTTTTAGCCAATATACTTGATTAGTAAGGATATTTTAGAAAAGACAACACTTATTTATTACAAATAACTAACTTAACTTCTTTCCTTAATTTCCTCAAATTAGTCAATTGACTCTTATAATTAGGACCGGAGGTAGTACTATAAAGACCAAAATCAAAATTAAAATTCAATAAAGACTAACAATAATATCTACCTATGATTGTTTTTGCCAACAATATTAACCCATGATTATATATGTGTGTGTATCTACTTATGATTATTCTTGCCAACAATATTAACCCATGATTATATATATATAAATATATATATATATATATATATATAAGCATTTGAAGTGGATTCCACGTTATACAATGACTAATTATTTTTTAAAGATTTGATTAGCAACAATTGATTGTGGCATTGGTCCATGCCATTATAATTTCAGATTTTGGGTCGAATATTGCTTGAATCTAAATTAATTGATAATATTACATATAAGATAAGATAATTTAATTAACTAGAAAAGCATAAACACAACCATATACTTATCACTTTCAAACTCGCATTTTGTTGGAGGAAGAAAATATAATTATGGGAGGATGACATCCAAAGACCAAGTCTTGAAATCTATAATTAAGGGAGTGCTTGTTTTGTCCTATTTATAAATCACTTTTAACATATTTCATATATACCAAGAAAAATATTAAACTTTATTAAATCTTATTTAAAACTCTACAATTTTTTAATTTTATCCTTATTTAAGATATATTATACTTCATGTAAACAAAATCAACACAATAATAAATGAAGAGTAAAATTATACATATATATAAAACAATTTTCTTAGTATCCTATAAATAGGACTAAAAAATATATTTTCTCTTTGTTTTATAAATAAGGTCAGAAGAATATATAATAAAATGGTTTCACAAAATGCCCTTAGATCAGTAAAATTTCAAGTGACTTAAATAGAATTAAAATTCAAAGTACATTCACATAAACTTCCTTCATTTTTTAAAAAAAAATATTCCTCACCCAATTGGACGCATGTCCTATTGAGAGTATATCTTCCAGAGTTTTTTTTTATTCACATGGATTCAAACTTAAAACCTCGTAACTATTTTCACTAATAGCAATGCCTGTTAATATTAGACCACTAATTATATGATTATCTCTTCTCCTTAACATGAGAGCTAATTTAACTTGCAGTTTGATTTTAAATATAAGATCCTTATCTACTTTGTCTATCATATTTATTTATTTTTTTAAAATAGTCCTTGTAGTTGTTACACATGTTAAATGTTTCATCCAATAGTAGTTTCAATTAATACATATAATTAGTAATGATATTTTAGAAAATACAAGACCTATTTACTAGAAATAACTAACTTAGCTAATTTTTTTAATCTATTCAAAATAGTTAATTAACTTTTATATTAATAATAGGAGTAGCATATCAGAGTAGTAACCAAATTTCAAAATAAGATTCATAACTTGTTAATTTATCCTTCAACTTAACTCATTTAATTGAGTGGCTTTAAATATAAGATTTATGTGCGAGACTTAGTTGGGACTTGGGATATTAATTTTTACATCTAAATATAAATCGTGTTATTTATTTATTTATTTTTTGAAAAAGGGGCGACCCAGAAAGAGCCAAGCTGAGTGAGACATTTCACTGTCACTGTGATCTCGATTATTCAGTCCGCTGCCCCAAAAATCAAATATGGCGCACTCCGATCAGCAACGCCCGAGCACGGCTGCCTGCGGCAGCGGGGGCAACAACAACGGCAATAGCTCCACCGGAAGAACTGCCACTAAACGTAAGGCTAATAAATCTGGTTCTGCAAATTATCTCGACCCCCAAAAGCTCGCGGCAACGATTTCCTCTGTGACTTCTACCGCCTGTTCCTTTCTACGACAGAACGACCTTGTCCTTCTTCCTTCACAAACTCTGCTTCTGGAATCCCTCCTTTCTTCCACATCCCTCTCTCTCACCAGATTACTCTCTCTCCTTCCCAAATCCTCCGATCCTCTTTCTCTGTCTCCGACTTCTCCATTGCTGCCTCAACCACAATGCTGGTTCCATCGTTTTCTTTCTTCCGCTTCCGCCGACGATTCCATGTGGTTCGACGCCTTCCATATGTCGAGACTTTCGTTTACTCATCTTCTTAATCTTCTCTCCGCCTCTTTGGGCTCTGCGATCTCTAAAATTTCTCCCGATTATGCTTTAGCTGCCTCGCTGTTTCGCCTGGCTCATGGAGCTAGTTACAAAGCAGTGGCGAGGCGGTTTGGGATCGAATCTTCTGTTGCATGTCGGGCGTTTTATGTTGTTTGTAAAGCAATCAATGAGAATTTGGGGCATCTGTTTGAGGCTCGGACTGCTTCGGAGAGGATTTCTGTGGGTTTTGGATGGAAATCACTTCCAAATTGTTTTGGGGTTTTGGGCTTGGCGAGATTCAGGATTGAGGGTGAGCTATTGGGTAAAAATGGTTGCCTGATGTTTCAAGCATTGGTGGATTACGAAGGGAAGTTCCTGGATGTGTCGGCTGGCTGGCCGAGTACCATGAAACCCGAATCCATTTTGTATCAGAGCAAGCTGTATTCAGGGGTAGAGGAATCCCCGGAATTGTTACAGGGACCTTCGTATAAGCTTAGCGATGGTTCTTTGATCCCACCGTATATTTTGGGAGATTCTTGCTTTCCTCTTTTGCCATGGCTTTTAACGCCTTACAACAGACTGAATGAAGAAGATAGTTTTAGCTCAGTAGAAAGGGCCTTCAATTCTGCTCATGATCAGGCGATGGGTTCGGTAGGATCTGCATTTGGGAGACTGCTAGCTAGGTGGCAGCTTCTATCAAAGCAATGGAAAGAAGAGTGTGTTGAGTATTTGCCGTTTGTAATTGTTACTGGCTGTTTACTGCACAATTTTCTGATTAAGCGTGGCGAGTCGGCGGCAGAAGAATTTGTAGAACATATAAACGAAGAGGGTCTTCCTGTTTATGAAGGAGTGGTGGATGAAGGTGCACTGAGGATAAGAGATGCACTTGCTTTGCACATGAGTCGAGTAAACATTGAAAGATGAATGACATAGCTATGGAATCAGAGGTGCATTTCTATTTCTATGTACATTATTGATGGATTGGCACTGTCACTTGTTTGTGAATCACGTATGGTCATAAGTTCATTTCCCTCGGGATCTTGTCATATCCGTGGTGCTGATATGCCATAGAGATTTGATAGTGTCATTCTGGTTCTGAAATTGTCCAACTTGTTAACAAAACTGGACAGTATGATATTATCGTTTAATCTCTTTTGAAATGTACGATAATGTTTAGTATTCTTTTATATTTTTTCGGAAGACATCTGGAAGGCAATGTGTCGTGGTATTTTCGGAAAAGGTGAGAGAAAGAACGAGAAAGAAAGAGAGAGAACGGGGAAAGAGGGATTCAGAGAGCGAAATAGAGAGAGAGATGAGAAAAACTGAATATAATCTTTACACTAACTGCGAACAACAGCAGTCTGATTACAATCAGTCCTAAGAGCTTCTATTTATAATCTTCTGATCCTATCTACCCTCTAACGGCTAATAATAATAACGGTCTTAACTAACTTTTATTATTTACATTTTTCCATAACACAATGGCTTCATTTGTTTCCTTGATATATCAAGTAGAATTTGCGAGAGATGGTTGGGTACAATTCAACTGAGTTTGCCCATCTGAATTTCCCGTAAAGTTACCTTTCAAAAGGAGAATGCTCAACTCAGGGAGCAATGAAACAATATCGTATTGATTCTTTAGAATTAATCATTGCTTCTTGTTACTGGAATTTGGCCAAGCTAGTTTTTGATGAAATCAAATGTACTTGGCCTTTTTGTGAAACTGAATTCAGACAGCCTTTCTTCTATATCTACCGATAATTGTGTGCAAGGAGATAAAACCAAATAACAGCTGGTTCCATCTCTGAAACATAGCTTCTTTTCTTGGACTGAATGACTTAGGCCAAATCTAGTTCATCATTTGTAGACCATCTGCGACCATCATTTCATAAATTGCGGGCTTAGATATAATTTTTTATTGCATTTTAACCTATCCATTACTTCTGCTTAGGAGAGATAACTAAACTTGGTTCGTGTAAACAACATTAACATTGAGTAAGCTATCCGTTTGATTGGCCCATAAAATATCCCAAGAAACGAGGAGATTTAGAGAAGCAGGCATTTACATCCAAATAAAAACATGAAGGCTTCTCCCAAAAGAAGAAGGGGAAAAAAAGAAAAAGGAAAATAAAACTTGTTACCTCACAAAAGGAACAAGATGACTGCACATTTCTTGATTAGAGGATCTCCCCTTCTCTACCGTAGATGAATCTTCAACTAGACTAAATACACATGATACTGCAATTCATTACGAGAAGAGACTCGAGATGGCTTGTGGCTTGTGAGAGTGATAATGATGGATATTTATGTTGACTTCAGGGTTCTTCAAATTGTAATATTTATAACTCAAAATTGAAGCTTAGCTGAGGAACAGTTACTTGCACAATTGAACAAGCAAGACAGCATACTCCTGCAACCTAGACGTGATGAATTACTCTGTCTCTTTTGAATGACCCTGATGAACTCGTCTGCACTTAAATCTCCATCTCGGTTTGCATCAAACACATGAAATATAATGTCCACCACATTATCTGTAATTGTCACCCCACATACCTGCATTTATATCATAGTCAGAAATCGCCAAAAATATATGTTGTTTGGAGTTATGGATAGCCATTACATATTTGGAAAGTTTTGAGGAGGGAAGGAGAACATTTATATGCATCGTAATCAAAAGTAGAGAAACAAAAGAAAATTCAGGAATATCCGGAATACTTATCAATAGAACCCACTTCTGATATCTGTTTTCAGGATTAACTTAATGTTAGCTATATTTGATGGCACAGGAACGGATAAGTAAGTACTTGAGATGCTGCCCTCTGGAAATCAGTTTTGGTCAAGGTCCCATTTATTTTCCCATAGCTGAACAAGGCCAAAGAGAAGGACTGCAGCTTCTTGCGCAATTCTGCAAAGGCTTGGAATTCCTCAAATGTAATTCTTATGTCCCTGAGGTGTGAGTCATTGTCCAATTCATCAACTAGATCCAGCAGCTTGTTTATGTGATTGATGTCAGCAGATGCAACCAAGGAGAGCCCGAAATCTCTGGCTGAAATGCTTCCTCTTTCGTTGTAGTCATAATGGGAGAACTCTAACCGCAATATCTGCAAGTCACATTATCACATTGCAGTGATACTGATGGAACCAGAGTTATTCATCTCATGACATGAAGGTTGGAAATTACAAGGGAGCGTATGTACAAAGGTAAAAACACCCTCTCTTTGATATTCCCCCAAGACAACCCTTTGGCATGCACTGATATCTTGTATAGTTTGATCCTACGCATACCTCATCATGTAGGTCTCTCAAGAATTGGCCAAATTTCTCAATATTTAAACAATCCTTTCCGTCTTTGCCAAAAAAATACTGGAAGAGACCCCCATCTTCTACAACAGTTACATCCCCTTGTCTGTGCTGGCTTCGCATCAAGGTCATCACTTTGTTGAGTTCTTGCTTGTCTATGTGCCTGCGTGCGCAAGATTTATACATTCACCCAATTACAAATTCATGAAAAACTGAATCACCAAACATTCTTGATGTATTTCTGCTACCCTTTTAGCATTTGTCTATAGACACTAATGGTTTTGTAACTTAGTGCCATGAAAACTCTCTTATAATTTTTATTAAAACACATTTGTTTATAGGCAGAGTAGAAAGAGTATTCTCTCTTTCTTTTACCTTTCTCAATAAATAGCAGTGGAAGTTGAATCTTTAGCGTATAACACAACTCAATTTTAATTGTTGTTATGTGAACTTATGCATAAAAGTATGCTTCAGTTAATAGTTTAACTACTTGAAGAAAGTGAGGCGATGTTACCGAAAGAAGGATGTTTATATGAAACTCGAGAATTCCCGTTGTTCAAACGTAATTGGGAAGACACTCATAATTAAATTGGGTTTTCTCATCATCATATATGGATAGACCAAGTGACTATTCAACACTATCTGACTCCTCAAATAACGTACAAATCACTCTCTGTATCTGTTTCTTAATATATCGCCATGTGTATGAATAATGTAGATGCATAGTGAGGGTACAATATGCTGAAGCTCAATGCAGACGTGCAGATTGAAACAGAAAACTAAAGCTTTTATTGGATTTCCTTTCTCTGAAGGAGGAAGATTTAGACCTACCCGTTATTGTCAAGATCAAACATTTTAAATGCCACTTGAAAGCCAGACTCTGGGATGCTCAGGAGAGTAACAAAGAAGATGTACCTGGCGTGATGGGAAAACAGGTCAGCACTTCAGCTCTGAACTCATCAAGGATTGAACTATGAGTCATATTATGTACGGTGTTTGTTCCACATGGAGCTAGACACTTGAGAGTATAATGTGATGAGCAGGTTAAAAAAGGGAGAAAGAAACAAGGAAGAAGGGAGACTCACTCTGGAAAAGAAATGAGACCATCATTGTTAGTGTCAAAAAGCATGAAGAACTGAGAAGGAGGACAACTGAGTTCACCAGGATGCTTCTCTCCTGGGAGATAACCTTCTCTCACACGAGATGATCCTGATGGCGGAAACACCGGCACAACCGCTCGCATCAAATCCGCCGGTGTCATAAATGCCTCACGGCTTCCTGCTGTTCTCACTGATGCAAAGTACTCAAAAACCTGCGCTTGTGAACATACATGGTAACCTCATAATCACTGAAACTACTTCAGCAAACTCTCAAATTTTTATCAGAATATGACTTCTCTGACGTGGCATGTGTTATGGATACGTAAGCAAACTTGTTTCTTCTCCAGTTGCCATACTCTCCATGCGTTTCTTGCCCCCGTCTCTACCTAGAGGATTTTGCACTTTGACAGAATCCTAGAGCAGTTTTTTCTTATAGTAATTTTTATTATAATATTTTAGAAAAGATTTTACTGTAGATTTATTATTCACTCATTTTTTTATTTTAAAAAAATAATGCTAATATTGATAAAAAATGAATTTTTTTGGGATAAAAGTGAATTATTTAATATATCTAATATGTTTATATTCGATTTGAGGTATAGTTTTTTTTTTTTTGAAAATAAACTTTCATGCTGTATTGACAATGTTTTTTTTATTGATATACCACAATCAGCAATGGCAGCCACTATCAAAATCATTAACTAGTACTACCTTCGGTCCTAATTATAAGACCCAGTTGACTTATTTGAGGAGATTAAGGAAGTAAGTTAAGTTAGTTATTTGTAATAAATAAGTGTTGTCATTCCTAAAATATCCTTGCTAATTAAGTATATCGGCTAGAACTATTATTATTAGAAGGATTATTTTGAAAAAACATGCATAAATATAAGAGACAAAATGGATTGGGGTCTTATAATTAGGACTAAATAAAAAGTCAAACGGGGTCTTATATTAAGGACCGGAGGTAGTATTTAACATGTGTGAGATAAATTGAGTCTAAAGAAGGAAATTCTAAATTAATTAATATGACTGCTTTTATTAATTTGTGTCCAGCATCCATTAATAAGATTGATTACCTTTTCAGGGGGGCTTTGCAAGCGAATCCGTTTTTCGTATTTGAAAAATACTCTTCTCCTAAAGCTTTCTGGAGCCAACAAAAATAAAAACACACTAGAAATATGAGTAGTTATATATATATATATATATATATATATAATGCATATAAATTAATAAAAAAAATATTTTGCAACTCGAGCAATTCCTGCAAATATCTTCATGTTCAGAATTTATTCCCTTCACTCTATAATATTCAGATTTTCTTTTTGGGAAAATTGCAAAAAAAAAGACTCTGGATATTGCAAAATCCCACATTAGGAATTCTCACAAAAAATTGTTGTTATTTGCAAATCAGTTCTTGTTAAAACCAGTTAAAGTGTTGTCATGATTCCTAATTTGAGGTTTTGCAATTTTCACAGTCTTTTATTGCAATTTCTCCTCTTTTATTTTTCTTCCTTTTGAGCTTGTGATATTGTGCTTCAATTGAGACTATTTTACACACATACATATATCCTTGTCTGAGTGATCTCAAAAAATGCAATTTCTTCTGATCTTAGAAATTACAATAATTAGGGAAATAAATTTTATCTCAAGATTTTATTAAATTCAAATTTTTTACATTCTTACATTAAACATCAGAATGTGAGATTAAAAAGAAAATCATATATATGTGAGCATATTATACCATTGAAGAGGAAGGAGGATTTTGCCTGAGGTTCATACTGTTGCTGAAGCTGATTCTCATCCCTTGCATAATCAGCGAATGCCTGAACAGAATCCTCACCCAAAGAATTATAAAAATACCAAAACCCTAAGGCAGAGCCAACCACCGCAAGTCCCGAAACCGACGTTACAAACTTATCAAAGTCCGTTTTATCACCATTTTTTAATCCTCCGGCGGAGGTGGTGGTGGAGGTTAAGGTTGACGATGACAATGTGGAGGGTTGTGATTGGCCGGAAAAGATCCTAACACCAGTAGAAGGTCGAATAGAAAGGACTCGATGAAAAGAATGCCGAAATCTTGTGAGGGACGTCCAAGAAAACATGCTAATGTCGGCTTGAGATTCTAAAACTTTTAAGATATCAAAAAACAAAACACAGAGATGAAGACTCAAAAGACAGGATTGGTGGCTTTAAGGAACAAGAAAAAGAAGAGAGACAGACAGATTAATAAGACATAGAAGTAAGATCCAATATGGATGGAGCAGAAAACATGTAGGGATCAGACATTGTACTATAAAGAGTTCGTTGGCAATTTATGGTTACGAGAGCCTCACACCCAAAAATGGAAAGTTGATGTTCATTTTATCTTCTTATCTTCTCTCTCTCTCTCTCTCTCTCTATATATATATATATATTGGATAACATAATAATCGTCTGTAAGTTTTTCTCTCTTCCACTTACACACAGATATCAAAATCGAATAAGCACATCAAACTAGTGCAATCTAATTGGTGTTCGTAGGGCCCAATAGTCCTAGGAATATCAGCTAAAGGTATTACTCCTCCGATCCTTATTATAAGACCCAATTTGACTTTTTATTTGGTCCTAATTATAAGACCCAATTCATTTTGTCTCTTATATTTATGCATTTTTTTCCAAAATAATCCTTCTAATAATGATAGTTTTAGCCAATATACTTAATTAGCAAGGATATTTTAGGAATGACAACACTTATTTATTATAAATAACCAACTTAACTTACTTCCTTAATCTCCTCAAATAAGTCAATTGGGTCTTATAATTAGGACCGGAGGAGTAATTTGGTTGTATAGTCCTGATCATCAACTTCTTTTTTTAAGCATCTATTTGAGCTTAACTAAACAAGATTAATGTCACATTTGCTTCCTTGTTTAAAGAAGCGAGCAAAACCAAACTGAAACTGAAGATCAAACTCAATCAAATTGAACTTATTTGGTTTGTTATATTAAGTTATCCGGTTTGGTTCAGGAAATTTTGATCTTTTTGGTTCAGTCGGCCTGGATTAGAATAAAATAGATCAAATAAACCGAAATATTCTTTTCTTTTTAATTCCCCTTCATTCTCTATTTCAATATGCATGTATTTGATGGTTAATGCATACTGTATTTCGATCGGATGGTTCTTTCTGATTTCATTTGGATACTGGGATTTAATGCTTGCGTTTAGTACTTCATGGTTATTTTATTTCACTTTGCACATTTATTCTGCTCTGTTTAATGCTTCCTTTGTTCAGCTTCTTTTCCTCGGTCTGATGTAGCAACGGGGAAAAGCAGAATAAAGCTTGTAAAATCAAGTCTAATGGGCCTAACTTTGGGCCTATGAACCGAATGGAATAGGAGAACTACTATGTCTATGAGATCCTAAGAAAAAGAATTACTAAAACATCTCAGAATATCTTATAATGATAAATCTTATTGTTACAAATGACAACTGTTTACTTGTTATTAAAATTTTGATAATTATATCTCTTCCTTAGAACCACGTTGCGATTCTCCGAATTGAATAACCGAATCAAACCATGTTATCGCAGTCTTTCAATGATCCAATCCTTTTACCTTTATATATATATATATATATATATATATATATTTATACAGTTATCTCACCTGGTAAGATTGAGTATTGTCAAGTTCAATTACAAGTAACTCTTTTAAATGCTACTTCCAGTTTTTAATATAAGAACTCATTTGACTTTTATTTTGGTCCTAAATATAAATATAAGACTTTAATTCACTTTGTCTCTCATATTTATCTTTTTTTTTTAAGGTAGTCCTTGTAATAATAGTAGTTCTAACCAATACACTTGATTTGTAAGGATATTTTAGAAAAGACGACACATATTTATTACAAATAACTAATTTAACTAATTTTTTTAATTTACTCAAATTAGTCAATTAACTCTTATAAAAAAAGATCAAAATTAGTATGTTTTTTCAGAAACACATGTACTCAAATTCGAGATATCATGCTTAAGCAGTGAAAACTTCCCCTTATTAAGACCTAATCCAATCCCTTTACTTTTGAACTTGGGCTAAGTTCATTCAAGAACTTTCAAAGGAGGAAAAAAAGAAAGAAAGAAAGAGGTTCCATTTGTTTCTTTCACGTGGGTTATGATTCATGTATTTGTTCTCGCATATATTTGCTAGCTCTAACAGCTATATTTTTCATCTTTTGAAGAAAAAAATAAAATAAAATAATATGAGATGAAATGGTCTGTGAATTCGCTTGTCGTCACTGACTCATCACTTTGAACTCAGTAACCAAGATATTTTGATACAAAAAGCAACACAATTATTGATGAATTAATTGTAAAGAAGAAATCAAATGACATTGTTATATTATTGCACATTATATGCTCACTCGAATCGGTATCATTCAACCACCACTGATCACACGTTCAGATGTACTTCATAGCTCTACTTATTATTCCCAGGATTGTGTGCGCTACATTATAATCATTGCAGGCTTTACAAGATCCCTCATAAAGAGGCGTGAGAAAAACAAAATACCAACCAGTTTCGGATGAAATTAAACTCGCTTACTTTCTTCGCATCAACACATCACAATGCCCTCGATTTGGAACTCAGCCAACACAAAATACCAGGTCATTATTGATAGAATATCAATAGGATTAATCTGAAAAAAAAATTGATGAACATGTTAAATAAGACTTACATTAACTCTTCAATTGGGTGCGATATTTAAGGTATTGATTGATGTATTTACTATTCAACTTGTTGACACACTCGTAAACTAGACATTGGGCTTCGGGCATGAGTGAAAAGTAGTTGTAAGGTATGTATGTTCCACAAAATTTAGGTAAGGTTTGTATATATTCCCACCAATTTTAAATATAAGATGCGTATAACTAATTTACAGAGATTAAAAAATTTAGTTAAATTAGTTATATATATAAAAAATGTATATAAATTTAGTAAATAAAGTTGATGAAATCTTACATTTAGGATTAAAATAAACTCCTCAATTAGCTGTTCCATTTAAGATCATACAAATAAAAGAGTGGGGCAGATGTCTTCCAACTAAACAAAAACAATCCTTTATTATCAATTAGCATTATAATTGATAGATATAAAAGTTAAAACCAAACCAAGAGGGGGGAAAAGAGAAGGAAAAAAGATAGCGGGAGAGACACATTCAATAGTATGCTTTTTTTTAATCCCATAATTGCATGTCATTTACTCACAGAGATGAGTTTACAAACACTGAAAATGTCTCTATATATATATATATGTATGTATGTAAACACACGAAATTTGCACAAATTAAGAATAATCTAAAGTTTTAAAGGAAAACAAAAAAAGAAAAAGAAAAAGAAAAAAAACTTTTGCCTAATTGTTAAAAGCATGGTAGATAATTTATATTGCATGAAGTGAAAGATGTACATGAACTGATGAAACTATTGACTTACTATCACAGTTTTATTCACATCCATTCAGCAGAGACCGATGCAACACAGAACACACACACCTTTTGAATGAACACATTCATTGCAAGCATCTACCATAATATTATACTACCTCTGATTTTTAACATAAAAACTAATTAGAAGGTTAGATTTGGTCCATATATAAGACATCAATATAAGTTGTCTACCCAAATTAATAGCTTTGTTCTTTAAAAATATCCCTATTAATAGTACGGGGTTCCTATCAAAGGGTTATTTCAATGCACACAATTAGAGGGTGTAGTTTAGGGAAATCAAAGCACATTTTTTACAATTAAACAACTTAATTAATTTTCTTAATCTTTTCAAATTAGTTACATAAAACATTGAACATATAGTTAGTATAACATGATTTCTATAGGTGGCTCACCGGTTTTTTTTTATTTCCATCTTTATACCTATCAATTAATTGGAGCAAGCAGTAAGTTTGAAAAAGCAGAATTTTGCAGGCCTTGGAATTCAATGCAGTTTACCCTTCATTTGTTCTTCTCATTTATTTCACTATATATATTTATATATATATGTATATATAGTGTCCCCCCCCCCCCGGAAAAAGATATTTTACACTGATTCCTACCTCTTCTCATAGTTACAGAGTTACTTTTTTTTTTTTGGCCATCACAGTTACAGTGTTACTTACCCTTTAATCTTTATGCCTCCCAATTTACTTTATCGTGTTTCTTTGAAATTTTTGTGGCTCTTATTGCGTCTTCTATATGGATGCTCCCGCACCACAAACACTACCTTAATTTCCTACACAATTACTACTCAGGTCCATGCTTGGATCAATTTGGATTGGTGGATAGAGCCGAAAAAACAAAAATACCGCGTCCGAACTTACTTCTTTTACTCTTAGCTTTAAAAAAAAAAAGCTTTTTGCACTCGTTGTTCCCTTCAAAATGACCTATTTTAATTGAAAGAGGGATCATTTTAAAAAATTGTGACGATTTTTGTATATTAAATTAATTTTCTTAATGTCGTGAAAGTAGTTAACAAGATCTTGAAAAAATGATCAAAGGAGTATAGAGGAAGATTGTACACTGCAATGAAAAAATGACTATATATATAGAGGATTGATTGATCTCTTCTATTCTACTATAAGTGAAATGACATATATATATATCATGGTTTTTAAAATGAGTGAAATAGTAAATGGTAATATATAAAACTTGTTTTGGGACAAAATTAGGGTTATTAAGAAACTGTATAAGATATGAGAATCCAAGTGGGGGAGGGTTGAACAATTCAAGAGTGGGAGATTAGTGGAAATGGTTGCCCAGAGACAGGTAGTAGCAAATCGGGGGGGAAGTAGGTTACCAAATTGATTTGCAATAACTACTTTCCGTTGTTATTTGTTAATGGTCCCTTTGTCTTACGCACTGTGTCACATGCTTGTGGACCATCCTCAACACCCCCGCCCTCTTCCCTTTGCCCTCTGCGAAAATGACACTTTCCCATGCTGACCATAATGACTTTTTGTTTCTTAATATTACAAATAGGTACTATCTCCGTAAGATTACCCAACAAATCATAATTTTAAAAGTAATTTTACAGCGTACAAAATAACTATACAAAAAAAGTTTTGTCTTGACTTGTATAAAATTACTTTTAAAAGTGTTTTTAAAAGTATCCAAACATCGTACAAGCAGAATAGATCCCACAACATCACTTATCAAGATGTTTTTATATTAGTACTATGTTACAATGCTATTAACACCACTATAACATCATTGATGATATAAGACAACGTCTTCATAGGGACAGATTGGTGGTGATGAAATACAAGCTAAGGGAACTTATGTTCAATGCAGATTGCGAAGGATTATTTTGTATTTTTGATTTGATTAAACTCCATATTGTGGGCAAGGTCTCGCTCCTTGTATTTCTCTTAATTAACCCAAACCGTGGAATTTAAGGGGCGAGATTTTAAGGATAAATTAGGAGTCCATGTTCTACGAAGATTTGAATTAGAACATTATTTTTTGGACAAGACACAAGGAGCTGATTTCACCAATAACAGAATGACGTATTGAATGCTAGATATATAAAGACTAAGATTTAAACCCCTCATACGTGTTAGATCAACTTAAAGTTGGTTTTAATATACAAGAACACTTTAAGATTATTGTATACTTCGTACAATAATCTTAAAATCTTGCCCCTTGTCTTCCCTCCTCTCTTTTGTTGGCCAGACCCGTGATCGGAGAAACAGGCCTCTTGTTCCACCAAAGTTCTTCTCTAAAGTATACATTATTTAATCATCGTTTAGTGCTGGGGCCATTAGTCTTATTGACTCTTGACCACACCATTTTATTCTTTTAAATTTTTCAGTAGCCACACATATCAGTTATTCATAGGAAAGCGCGTATGAAGAATGATATGATAGGATTTTCCGTAAAAACAAAGGCCAGAAGCCAAAAATGTCAAATATATTGGCACACAATATCATGTTCCCCTGTCACTTTCAACCTCAACTACCCTCCAAACCTCCATTAAAACACAACCTCCTCCTCCTTCTTCTTCTTTTTTTACCTGACAAGACCTCCCCCTTCAGCTTCATTTTGCTGCATAAATATCCCCCGCATTTACCCATCCTCATCCTCATTTATGCCCTCCAGTTCCCTTTCCTCTCTGAATTCCCCATCCATCCATTCATCTCTCTATCTCCTTATCCTCATTGTCCTTATATAACCCCTTTCACTATGCCTCCTTCTTCCTCATCTCTCACCCTCATCCACCCCCTCCACCCTACCCCACCACAACCTCCCATGGACTGGTTCTCTTGGCTCTCCAGAACCAACCTCGAACCTTCTCTCATCTACGACTATGGCGTCACCTTCGCCCGCAACCAGCTCCAGCTCGAAGACGCTTCCTTCTTCAACCATGAGTTCCTCCAGAGCATGGGCATCTCCATCGCCAAGCACCGTCTCGAGATCCTCAAGCTGGCCCACCACGACTATGGACGCCTTCATCGTCCCAAGAAGATCTCCGGGGTCATCAAGAACTACATGAGAAAATGCCTCAGAAAGTTTGTGCTTTTCCGAGAACAAGATCCTCCTTCAGATCAGAAGGATTCACCCAGCCCAGAACCCCATTGGTACTACCAGGAGAAATGGCGAGGCGCCATGGAGAGAAAGCAATATGGAAGCGAGGAGTTTCAGAAGGAGAACAACAACATCAACAAGCCCCTGCCCGCCATGAATAGAACGAGAAGGGTAGCTTTGTCTGGGCCTCTAGATGGAAGGATGATGATGAACGAGAAGGCGGTGAGTACAAACAAAGTGTTGAGGCTTTCTGGGCCTCTTGATGGGAAGAAGCAGGAGAGACTACTGTACCCAAATCGGAGCCCATTAGTGAGCGGCAAGCCGATGATGGGCTCGGTTAAAAGCCCAAGATCTTCTGGGCCTCTGGACCCAAGATTGGTGATGATGGACTGCAAGAGCCCAAGGATGAGCAGGCCTTCAGATGCCAGACCTGGAAGCCCATTGAGTTTCAGTCCCTACTTGAACAAAACCAAAAGTGATTTCGATTTTGATGAGGATGATCACACACTGTGGCCTACCTTGTTCCAGGATTTGAAACCAACATGATTGTTTGTTGCCCACTTTCTCAGAGAAAAGTCAAATTTTTGTTAAAAAACAAGAAGAGAGAGACAGTTCCTCTTTTCAAGATGCGTCTACAGGGTCAGAGCAACGGAGAAGTAGCAGAAGTAAGCGGCAGTGATGATTATTACTGGGAGGATATGAAATTACGTGGTTATTTTGTATTGGTTCATATCTCTCTCTTGCTTATTCTGTTCACTTGTACATATAAAATGTCAAAAACATCTTTTCAGTTGAGGCGGGCCGCGCTGAGAACGGTTGGTTCGATTCAGAAAAAGTCAATTTGTATCAGTTAAAATGTTTTTAGGTGTATTTTTTATGGTTGGTGACTGGCTCGTTAGGTACTCATTAATGGGAGGAACCTAACTGTTTCCTTGGTATTTCCTCCAGAAAGAGGGAAAAGGTTTCACATAGGTCATTATCTGATTATTTCTTTATTTCTTTCCTTCTTTTTTCTAAAAGTAAAAAACTTCAGACATCTAAGTTTCATCAGCCATCTAAAGACTACTTTGTGTGCCCTTGACGAGAGACAAAGCTGACAGCTTTTCTTTTAAAGCAACTTTAACAATAACTAGCACCGAAAGAGTCTAACATGGACAAATGCTTTATTTTGTCTTCTCTATTCTGCACTTTCCTTTTAAGTTTCCAGAGAGTAATAGTCATATCTCATGTATTTTGACCACCAAAAGACTCTGTACAGCATCAAATCCGTATACACTCAGATTTATTGCGCAAAGGCCTAAAATCTCAACTGTTACAACGAAAATGTCCAAAGCTCAGTGATTGTATCATTAGGCTGAATAAATATATTAAATATCCCAAGTAACTGGTAGTTAAAACTCCTCAAGTCTGCATATCACATCCATTCCCCTCTGAGGACCATCTTTTAGCATAAGATGCATACTAAAACAACCATTTTCCCAGAACAAAACTCAAAACCCAGATTTATATGTGTGTATAAGGCTGAAGTGGCAGAGCAGGAAGCACAGTTCTTGAAGGAATTGTAGATTGCTCTGATTGATCCAATGCTGAACCTGTGTCTCAATTACTTTATTTATTTATTTTTATTTTTTTGGGTGACGTGTCTCAATTACTTTAGTGAACTGTGGTTTGAGGCAGCCTGAAAGAACCACCAGAATAAAGCATATGGTAAACTGGTTTTATCCTGAAACTAAGGATGATGCTCAAGATGGAGCCAAGAACAGAAACAGCAGCCAAAACAAAGAAGGTTGGTCTGAAGCAATTTGGTCCCAAGCAGGAGGCTCCTGAATCAAGCAAGTCTAGACCATGGTGCTGCCTTGCAGCCTCCTTGTCATATACTTGCCCTGCTAGCAGAGCTGAGAAAAGGAATGCACCAAGAGGGTTTCCTAATGACATGAAGTTGTAGAGCACACCAAAGTTCTTCAACCCGAAAAGCTCTGAGACCGTGGGGATCATAGTGGAAAATTGCACGCCATAGCAGATGCCAAGTAATGCAACTGCAAAGAAAAGAGTACCTTTTACAGCATATGCAAAGATTAGATATGAGATGGTCATGATTATCTGTGTGCATGTCATCCAAAATGTCCGGGGGATCGTTTTCGTCCTGTATCGACAAAATAGGATATAATCAGAATGGCTATAACAAGTTTATGGTCACTCCCCCATGTTAGCCTAGTAAAATTGAAATTTTGTTCTTTTATTACTCCTAATAGAATCTGACTTAATGAAGAGAAATCTCTTCTCTATTTGCCACCTAAGTAGACACCCTTTGTGGTAAATGGTTAAAATTAGATAAAACAATTAAATGAGGAAACACTGACACGATGCAACTTCACAACAGACTAAGAAGTTCTGCGAACTTACAACCAACTCCCCTGCCCCCAGGCATTGTGGGTTTAGAAGCTGATTTATATGGCACAAAGATCATTCATTACCAGGTTCATTTGAACATGAAAAGTTTATTCATATATAAACTTGATGTGTTTGATCACAGAAGTGATAATTTACTCGGTCTTGTGATTGTAATGTTCTAAGGACACAATGACTTGTACAGATATCAGGAGGTTTTTGAACAGCTCAAGTACATGTTGAAACCTCACACTGTGTTACTGATATGAGCTTGAAAATAATTGTTAAATTTACTTAACAGGCATAGATGTGACTGACCTCACAAAGTGTTCTGAAACAACTCCTCCACTGAGGCGACCCACAAAATTGCAGAAGCTGAAAATTGACAATAAGATTGTGGTATCTTCCACACCTTGTGCAATGCCTATTTGTGCGAGATTGTTGAGAACAGTAACACCAGAACCAACCCCAACAAAGAAAACAAAGAACAGGAGCCAAAAATCAGCCTTTATAACAGCCTCCATGAATGTGAAATCTTCCCCTCGCTTGGGCCTTCTCTTCTTCTTCACTGCTCCTTCACCCTCAGCAAGAAGCACAGCCACTTCAGATGACTCGTCAGTGTCATAAAAGCTCCCAGGGGTTGCTGAAGTTGAAGATGGCAAGAGGGGTTCTGTTTTTTCATCCTTGCCTTGTTGAACTAGGCATTCTGATGATCCAACTTGCGGATTAGATCTTTCTGGTTTGCTGCATTTCCTAGGAAACAATGTCATCTTTACAGGTATTGCTAGGGGAGCCATGATAAGGAGAATCATCACGGCAATTAAAATATAGGAAGATATACCGCCTAAGGGCAGAACATTACTAAATGCAGCAGTTGCAATAAGATATAAACCCAAGACCACACTAGAGCATTGGACGAAAGCGAAATGACCATGTTCTGCAGAATCATCACCCGTAGCTGGAGTACAAGGCCTGATGAGAAACATAATGCTGAAGCATAAGGCAGGAATACCAATGGCGAGGAACAAGAGGAACTGAGAAGAAGAGTTCTGAAGCACTATGCTGTAAATTTCGGTAAAAACTGCGGCACTGATACCCCCATAACCTTTGAGAATTCCAGCAACTGTGCCTCTACTCACAGGGAAGTTTCTCATGTTGGTCACAAGAACAGCAGTGCCTAACCATGCATTACTGTTAGTGGCAATAGAGAGGGCAATCCATAGCTGCGAAACATCACAAAAATCAATCAAGTTTGTAATGCATTCCTGAAACAACGCTGAAACTGCAATAAATTCGTATTAAGAAGAATCATTTTGACTTAAAAAGCTTATGATCAACCTCCAGACCATTTAATCATACAAGGAGTGACAGTGACATCTTCTACTCAAAAGCTTTAAGCCGGAAAATGAAACCATGATTAAGTTATAAAGAGATTTTCTTAGACTTTTTACAGAACTTTTTTCTGCATATTAGTGAAGACATGCGTAAATTAAAGACTATCAAGCAAATAACTTCAACCAACAAGTGATCAACTTAAATTCAGTGATCCAATGCAAATTTAATTAAAATTGATCAATTAGAAATACCCAGTGAGAATTCACATCGGTGGAAACATATATTTAAACTAGTGCAGTTCATTCATTCGCTTGCAATCTGATGCAAATAAATGCAATATCTTCAATGCTTCATCATTATAATTAGAAAAAAAAATCAGATCACATAAACGGATGTTTTCGACGAATCAAAATCACAAAAAGGGGGACATTAAATAAAACAGTTCATCATCAAATCAAACAACTGCAAGGGTGCGCCAAAAAGCAACAGAGAACTTACCAACCAGTAAGGAAGTGACTCCACAGTCTTACTAACAGCAAGCCACAGAACACCATAACCAAAGAAGGAGGCCAAAGCACCGATCAAAAGAATAAGCCACGGTGGGAACCTGTTGGAGGCAATTCCAGGAAGCAAGCCAACATTCTCACCAAAGTCGTTAGCAACACCAAGCAAAGTAACCTGACGCTGATTAAAACCCAGAACGGATTTAAGCGAGTGAGAATAGAGAGGAAAAGCATACGCATTTCCTGCTGCGATTTGAACCCAAACCGCAGCTCCAAGACCAACCCATGGAGGCCTTGACCCTCCTTTTAGAGTGAGCATCAACATGGATATGGACTAGTTACCCAATGACTGAATATTACAGATATCAAAATGAACTTCTTGATGATTTAGCTAGTGACATTGAAGAAGCAGAGGTGAAAGGTTGGATATATAAAAGTTATGATGAACAAAGAGGCGAGGGAGAGGAAGAGAGAGGGGGGTGGCGAGTTTTGTGAGTCAGCGCGTGGACATAGAGGGTGACTTGGCGCTTGCCATTTGGACTAAGGTCGGCGTACATCCGGGTTTTTCCTATTACATAGGACTTTGATTTTGTCTAGATATCATTTGTAAATAAGGATTTTTTTGTGTCTTTGATAGAGAGAAAGTGATATTTAAATTAATGTCTAACAAAAAAAATTGAGTCTTTAAGTTGAATATATGAATAATATGACATGCAAAGGAATCCTAATTACCAGTTCCAGCATATTTTTTCTTCATTCATTTGATTTGGCCTCATCTCCGGTCATGTGTAGTTAAATCCATTTGATCCGAAGTAAGAGCCCGGGAACACAACGTACCCTTATGTTTGCCTACGTGATTTGGTTTTTTCTTACAATATGATAATTTTTCTTTTGAGCTAATATGAGACTATTATTATAAAAGCCTGTCATTACAAATATTAAAGATATAAATAAATATTTTACCTATATATTCATTTTTTTCTGCATAAAATTTCATAATATCCCTTATTTTTCGGGTTATTTAATTAATGGAGTCACAAGGAGCATCCCATCAAGCCACCGTCACCTCAGTGATTCCATGATTTTTAGGAGATTGTAGGATGGCCACAATTATCTTATCGCGTAGGTTAGGGAGAACTTTATCCTCCTGATAAACAAAATTCCTCTACAGTAAATACTCCTTCAATTAATTCATTTCTTAATATAAGAATTAGAATGTTACATTTAATTTTAAATATAAAATATTATTAACTTATTGTCTTTCTCGAATTTATTTTTTTTAAAAATTCAAATTAATTTACCAATTTATAAATTAATATATAATTCAATGTTACACATGTGGTTAAGAAATATCAAATTACATTTATTATAATTAGCTAATTTATTTAATTTTCTTAACCTATTGAAATTAATTAAATATGTATTTTATTAAAAACCAAAAATAGTAGTAAGTTACATATTTAACTTTTGTTGGCAGAAGAAGATAAATTTTGGCTCCATATACGTGTATATATACACATATAAGGATTTCTTCTATCGGTAGGGATTTTGCTTAAGAGCATATGGATTGAGATTTAAGGAGATTTAATTGAAATTGAAGATAATTTAAAAAATCTTTGAAGAAAACATATCAATTAATAAAGATCAATGGAGTCCATTGGTTCAACTAAAAATCAAGAAAGGAAATTTTTGGAACCCTAAAACTATTTAATATGATAGGGATTCAATTGTATATCACTTAAAGTTTATAGAAGTTTTTTACTATGACTGAAAGTTTAAGTGCTGCTATACATATCTACACATGAAAAATAATAAAACACCACACAGTTTATAGGATACTTGGTTAATGCTACCTTCCACTGTAAGTATAAAAGTGAGTTTGTAGTTACAAACGAGTTCTTATATTTAGAGTAGGAAGTAGTAATAAATTACAGTCCGTTAATGGGTAAAAAAACATAGTTAATTGTGGAGAATATTTGCGCAAACTTAAAAGTTCAGTGAGGTTCTTTGTCAAATATTAAAAGTCAATAGGATTATTTGCACATGGATCAAAATTTTAAGTAATTTCATATAATCTAACCTAAACTTTTATAGAAAGATGATACTCCCTCCGTTTCTTATTATAAGAGACATTTGATGCTTATAGCATGTTCCTAAATATAAGAGACACTTAAAAGTTGTCTCTACTTTTTTGTGTTAATTTCCTATTTTACCCATATTTATTGTCTTCAACTCACACTCTCTCTCCTTCCCACTTCTCTTTCTTTTAAGAATTTACTATTGTTTTCTCTCATGCTCTCTCTCCTTATTAATGAGGGTATTTTTGCAAAAAAAATTATACTTTTTACACATTCATTGTTCTTAACTAATTTTAACTGTTTTTTTGATCAACGTAATTCGGTTATTCGTCTCTTATAATAAGGAACGGAGGGAGTACTTTTTATAAACTGTTCTCAGTACGTCTCATTTTCTCAAGATTAAATGCAAAATATCTGATCCACCACTTGCTTAATCTACCAATAGGACAAAGCATGAAGTGAGACGGGATAAAATCTCAACTGTGACATTTTGACTGGGGAAAATAATAATGCTAATGATTGTTTAAGGTCGGCAAAGAAAAAGGCATGCGACAGTTTCTTTGCCGACCTTAAATGCGACAGTTTCTTTGCCGACCTTAAATACTGGAGAAGTATAAAACCTAGGTAACTCATCTCCGAATATTAAAAGAATTAGTTAGATTAGTTATTTATAATAAATAAATATTATCTTACTTTAAATAGTATATTAATATTGTACATTGAAACTACCATTTCATAAAAAAAATTTAATATATATAATCATCACAAATATTGTTTAGGGGCAAAATAAATATCAAAGACAAAGAAAACCGAGATCTTGTATTAATTGAAGTGCATATGAACTGACACCAAATTTGAATTTGAATGACTCACTTGATGAAGAGCCAAGATATTTTAATTCTAACATCATATGGGTCCGACAAATAACTTGCTTTAATCGTTAAGCATGGTTTCATCTCTGATTTAAAAAAATATTTTTAAAGTATAATCAGCACAAACAGAAAAGAAAAAGGTCAGAAAACAGCTTTGCTTTAATTTAATTTATTTTGGGAGATCATTACCATGGATGGAATAGTTTACTCAATGGCTGAGCATTAAATGAATCACAGATGTATCAAAATGAACCTCTTGATTATTTAAATTAGCGACTTATATTGAACATGCAGAGATAAAGGTTAGAGATATATTAAGTTATAGACAAAAATGTGCAAAAGATATACTTACCCTTATTCATAATTTCTCAGCCTTTAATATTAATGTTATTTTTAAACCTTGTTTTCTTAATCTTAATTATGCCAAAGTAGAATTGTTAAATATTTAAAACTTATAAGTTTTTTATTTATTATGAATGTCATTATGTCATGTTGATTTAAAGAAACAAAACAAAGATTATCTCTTTAAGTTAGTTAATTGCATGTTGTCTTCATAAGCGGCAGCAAGTGTGGGCCAGGAAGAGTCTTCTTACTCAAGTGCTTTCAGCTTTTTATTGCTCTCATTCCAAAGACTCTAATGAGCCTGGGGATTTATCATTCTTCCGGGAAAGCACATGTGGGGATTGCCGACATATATATGTACCAAAATATTTCTTGAAATAATTTAATTTTTACAAAGTTCTTAGGGATTTTTTTAAAAAAAAATTAAGCTTTTTATGAAATGACTTAATTGTTTTTATGTATAAAAAAAATCCTCTACTGTCTGTCATTGAAGCTTTTTACGACCATTAGACCACTAATATTTCTTAATATAGTGCAAAATATTATACAAGATAACTACCAAGTTTTAATATATATATATATATGTGTGTGTGTGTGTGTGGAAACACATATAATGACCAGTTCACTCTAATGATTGACGATTTTATTTATATTAAATGACAACAATAATTTAGGCTCCAACAAGTACTCTTTTAAAATTTAAAGTGAAGTAGTCATCAATACATTTCATCTTATTTTTGTGCACGAACTCAGATATCATATGGGTCCAAAAACCTAAGTTCCGTTAACACTTTAATCATTAATTTTGGCTAAAAACAATCTTTAATCATTAAGCATGCGTCAATCACCCTTAGCCTTTTTCCCTCCTAATTACATAACTCGCACAAACAAGAAAGTAGAAGTCAGAGAAGAACAGGTTAATTCTGACTGATCTGTGATTATTATTATTTGAATGGAAGTGAATATATTAACAAAAATATTATTATTATACAATAAAAGAAAAGGAACAAAAGAAATTGTTTTTAAGGAAAATCAGATTAAAAATTAAGTTCTTAAATACTAATATTTTGATCAAACATGACCGATACTGATGGATGCACTTTTTTTTTTCTTTTTTTTCTGATTCTTTAAATTTTAACCATGGGTTAGGTTTCTACATTCTTGTTTTGTTCCATTAATGGTTGATTTCAAGAAATTAGTGTGCGTTTGAAGTAATGGGGTTTCTTTTTCATAGGTAGATTGTGTTTATAGGAAAGATGGTGCGAAGTTGAATTAAGAATCGAATTTTAGGATATGATGCTTCAAATGAGAAGCATTTCAATCCAAATTACACGGAAAAATGTGACCAATCACCACTTCATTTAGTCCACTTTCCACTTAATTTACGCCAAATTATGTCAAATAAAAACGATTACTGATTAATTACTTAATTAATTCATTAATTAATATTAGTTCATTCACCCACCCAACTTAAAGTATGATATGTTTGGTTACCCATTTTAAGGCAATGTAGCTTAGGCCCACTCTTCTCAAAATTGCGACACAGCAGCACTTTTGTTTTTTTTGTTTTTAATAGCTAAAGCATAGCTCCTGTTTTTTTTTTTTTTTGACCAAAAGCATAGCTCCTGTTTTAGAGACAATCTTATTGAAGATATTATCAAATACTAAACATGTATACACCTCCCAGTTCGAACCTGGGACGCAGCAGCACTTTCGTTTCTCCACCTTTGACCCCCAAGTCCAACAGACCCACTTACAACTAACTTCCCATTGGACAACCCATCAACCCAAACTTAAAATTGAAAGCCAATTTCTATCCTTATGTTTTACATGGGCATGAAAAGGGCCTAATTGCCCAACTTCAAAAGCCCATAAATCATGTTTTGCGAAAACAAATATGATCTTGAAAACAACAAAACATGTCAAATGTTTGTTATCAAATGCTTAGTAGTTGACGACATGACAAACTAAGATTAGCTCCTCATAACATGACAAACTAAAGTTTGAATTTCTGTTGAAAGAGGTATCTATATTTAGTGCTCGACAGTGTCTTAAATAGAATTACCTCCAATAGAGAATATCTATACTTTAGCAAAAAAAATATTTAGTACCTTACAGTGTCTCGAGCAAAATTACATCTGATAGAAAGATAT